AGTGGGCCGTGCTGGGGACGCTGCTGCAGGAGTACGGGCTGCTGCAGCGCCGGCTGGAGAACATGGAGAACCTGCTGAGGAACAGGAACTTCTGGGTGCTGCGGCTGCCGCCTGGCAACAAAGAAGAGACCCCCAAGGTAGGCCAGTGGAGGCGTGGGGGGCCAGGCCGCGCGCGCCTGCTGCTTCTGCTTTGTGGTGAGACCGAATGGCTGCCTTTCCGTCACGGCTGTGACTAGAGGTCCGTGTGTGACATTTGTGATTTCAGGTGTCCAGGTCCCTGGAACACGATGGAGTCTGTTTTTCAGAGCGGGAGTGGGAAAATCTGGAGGACTGGCAGAAGGAGCTGTACAGGAATGTGATGGAGAGCAACTATGAGACGCTGGTGTCTCTGAGTAAGTGGCGGCCTGAGGGGCGGCCCAGGCTGCGCCTGGGTGCTGTGTGGCTTCTGGCCCTGCTGGCCTGGGCGGGACACTCGGGAGTCCTCTGGCCCTCAGTTTACGAGCACCTGGAGAGGGCCGCTGCTGCGGCTGCCTTGCTCGGCCCTCTTGGCCGCGGCCACCGGTGCCGAGGTGCTCTCGCGTTCGTGTAACGCGCCGCGGGGCCTCGCGCCGGCTTTCCCCCTTCAGACCATTTTTACTTCAAACAAGAAACCCGTTGTTACCAGTGGGCTGCATCAGCTAAGCTAAGCATTTTTCTTGGTGCTCGGCTGGCATTGTACCTGCTCACTGTTGGTCAGAAGCGCTGCTGAATAGACACACGTCTCTGAGGACGAGATAGAGGCTGTCAGATAGCAAGTGTGCTTTGTTTGGTGAACACTCTGGAAGCGTAGGCCTGTGGGGGCGTCAGGAAGGCCAGTGTGATTGGGGAGGGAGGTGGCCTGTGGGTCAGAGGGGGACTGCGACCTCGGCAGGTGGCGTGTCCTTTCCTTGTGCCTCATGAAGCAATAGGTGCAGGGTGGCACTAGATGCCCTTAAAGGCAGCAGCGCGTGACACCGGTTCCTGTGAGAGCTGGCGTTGGGGCGAAGGGTGCTGCACCTGGGGCCTGGCCCCCAGGCTGCAGTGACCGGTGACGGGACCTCTGGAAAGTGGCCGTCTGAGTAGATGGCTCAAGCTGACCTCATTTTCTAATGGTCTCGAGCTGCTAGGGTGAAGGGACGAGACCAGTAGCCTTGCATCTTGGAAGCCCCCGACATCGGTCACCTTGTTCCCACGAGTGGCAGGTGCACGTGAGCTCACACTTGGCTGTTTCTGCCCAGAGGTCCTTGGCCAGCCAGAAGGAGAAGCGGAGTTGGGGACAGAGGTGCTGGGTGATTTGGAGGAGGAAGGTGCTAGTGATGTCCACTCAGGTAAGCGCCCAGAATATTCCCCCACCCTCCTTGCTCCTGAAGCCTGCAGTGAGGCTCCCAGGCTGAACTGCAGCCCCCGATGATGCATGCCCTCGCCAGGCCTCACCGCCCCAGATCTGTGTGGTCGGGTGAGCTCCTGTTTCGCGCGCCCGGCCCCCTGCCCCGCGATGTCCGCGGATCAGGACCATTTCGGCCTCCTTCATGCCCCAAAGCAGCGTGCCCGGCCTTAGTCTGAACCGCTGGAGACTGACGCTAGGTCAGTCTGCTCATCAGGAGTGAGGCTGACCGGTCGGGGGAGGCGTTTGCTAGCCAGGTGGCTTGGGGAGATTACATGGAAAACCAGAGCTGGATGGATGATGTTTTGTTTTTAATCATTCAGATCTTTTATTTTGAACACTTCAGTAGAGTTGTTAAGAGTATATGCTTTTCACGGGGACTGAATCCAGGTTTGTGGGCAGCTACAGTGGTGACACTGCTCGGTAGGAGTAGACATCCCGATGCCACAGCGCGCTCTACCCAGCGTGCCGTGCTGTCAGGTGTTGGGCCCTGGCCGGTCTCGTCCCCTCTTTGACGTGAGCCTGGCTCCCAGATGTCTGTTAGCTGGGGAGAAGCCGAAGGGGACACGCTGTGACCTGTCTTCTCTCTCTTGGCACAGAAGGGGTCATGACCAAACAGGAGCTGCAGTTCGCGCAGGGTGGCTCCGCAGGCCCCCCCGGAGAGTCTTGGGGCGCAGCCGAGGAGCAGGCTTTCCCGAGCCCGGAGCAGGCTGGGCTCTGGGGCGGGCAGGGCGGCTCCTTCCTCTTGGAATCAGACCCCAGGGACTCGGGTCCAGAGGAGCCCGCCGAGGGCAGTGGGGACCCGCGAGGCAGTGGAGCCCCGGGCAGCCCGCCGGAGCAGACAGCTCCCCGGCAGGCCCAGCTGGCTCGGGAGTGTGGGCCGGGCCTGACTCTGCAGAGGGGCGCGCCCAGCCCCCACGAGTGCGCGCAGTGCGAGATCAGCTTCCGCTCCGAGCAGCTGCTGGCCGCACACCTGCGGACCCACTCGGCGTGGGAGTCTTGCCCCGCCGCTGAGCCCGAGGGGAGCCTGAGACCCAGGCCCCGGCTGCAGCCGCAGCCCAGGAAGGCAAAGCTGCACCAGTGCGGCGTGTGCCAGCGGAGCTTTGGCTGCAGGCTGAGCCTGGTCGCCCACCAGCGCTGCCACCTGCAGGGGGCGCCGAGTGCCGGCCCCCGGGGCCAGGAGCGCTTCTCGCCCAACAGCCTGGTAGCGCTGCCCGGCCACATCCCATGGAGGAAGAGCCGCGGCTCCCTCATCTGCGGCTACTGCGGCAAGAGCTTCAGCCACCCGTCCGACCTCGTGCGGCACCAGCGCATCCACACGGGCGAGCGGCCCTACCGCTGCCCCGAGTGCGAGAAGAGCTTCGTGCAGAAGCAGCACCTGCTGCAGCACCAGAAGATCCACCAGCGCGAGCGGGGCGGGGCGGCCCCTGGGCCGGGCAGGCCCAACGGCCTGCTTTAGGGACGCCAGCCCCTTGCCCGTTGGGGGGCGGAGGGGGCTGGCGTTGGTCCCCCTGAAGAAACCCAGAGCAGAGTCAGGGACTGACTTCTCCCGAGAAGAGTCATTTTGCTCGGCCTTGTCTCAGCCGGGCAGCACCAGGCTGAGGCCGAAGGTGGCCTGAGGCCACGGGAGGGTGTGTCCAGGGCCCAACCGCCCAGGCCGTCTGTCCCCTGCTGTCGCTGCACCTTCAGGCCTCGGGCGCCCTGTCTTGCTGGGGCCTCTGGCCGGGCACCCCTCTGACCGCAGGACCGCAGGGCTGCGGCGGGTTCCAGGCTCTTTATTCGTGCGGGTCTCCGGGGGCTGCGTGGGCCAGGGCGCGAGCCGGGCCTGGGAGGCGCGGCCTCCATCTCTTCTTTTGTAGTCCTTTGTTAATAACAAGTAGAAGACGCGATGTAAGTGAACTGCTTACCTGCTCTGAGGAACCTTTTTGGAATTAGATTTTAGTTGATTAAAATATACGTAGTCTGACACTTGTTTTCTGAGCTTCCAGAGTTGCAGAAGTTGTTCCTGACACGAGGACTGGGCTCCCCTCTACGAGGGGTCATTTACGGGGCTCTTTTAGCCCACCACACTGACAGGCCAGAGACCAGGGACAGCGTGCCGGGCTCCTCCTCTTGGGGGTCCTGGGCGCTTCAGTGGGGCTAACCGAATCCAAAGGAGCGAGAGGGAGAGTAGGGAGGCCCCAGGGCCTCTGCTGCGGTCGAGGCTGTAAGGGAGCTGAGCAAGGCGCTGCCTCAGGGAGTCGGGTTCCTCCCCGCGGCCCTCTCCTTGCGGCCAGACCCTGCGCGGGCCTCGGGGCTCCCTCGGAAGCTGGTTCACTGTGTGCCGGTGGCGGTCTGAGTCTGCTCCCCACACAGGCTGCCTCCTCGGTGCTGGGGGTGACTTGTCCTCCATATTGGTTCTGGGAGCGAGCTGGTGGGGACAGAGTGCACAGCGGCCGTCCCAAGAGTGCTCAAGACCTGCCCTGCCCGTAGGGGCCGGCAGTGGCCCTGGGCATGTGGGAGTGCCCCTGTGATGACTTGCCGTTGCCTAAATAAAACTCACTACTAGCAAAAAACAGTGCTGTGTCGGTTTTTCTTGAAGCCTCCTGGGGCCCAGCAGGAGGCCCCGAGCCTCGCCAGCCCTGCCAGGACGGGGCGTGGGTGCGGACACGCAGGGACACAGGCTGCAGACCTCTGGGGCTGGCTCGGGAAGGCGGGAGGTCGAGGTCGCAGGTAAACTGGGCGCCCACGCGGGGAGTCCCGGGGCGCCGCAGCAGGGGTGGGTCTGCGTGCTGAGCGGGCGTGTAGGAGTGAACGCCCTGACAGCACCCGCTGGCGACTTCAAGTGCTAATGCGAGGCTGGGGGAAAGCAGGTCTCCCACGCGAGGGAGTGGGCTTTGGGGAAGGAGCCAACGCAAGAAATGGAAGTTAGCCCCATTGATGAGGCCTGGACTGTGCTGTTCTGGGAGCCGCGTGGAGGGCCAGCCTGCGGCAGCACCAGCAAGCACTCAGGGCGTGGCTGCTCGGCGTGGCTGCTGCGCCCTCGGCCGCCTGCCAGCCCAAGCTGTTACGCTTCCACGTAGCGGGTACTGGAACAGGAGCCCAGAGTCCATGCCAGGGCGGGCTTCGGGAGGAAGGGTGGTCACACGCGCCTACAAGACGCCCCTCCGAGGCCTTTATACCTCGGCGAGGGTTCGCGTCTCAATGCACATTGCATAAACGCCCGGATGGGGGGGGCGAGCTGCCCATTCCCGTGGCCTGTGTGGGGTGGGCCCACTTGGAGTGACGCCAGGCTCAGCAGCCCGGCTGGCTCAGTGACCAGCAGGGTCAGGGCCAGTGCTGGAAATCCGTCTGACCCCTCCCCTTGGCCCCCAAAGAGCAAACTCACAACAGGTCACGCGTAAGGATTCAGGTGATTTTTACTTCTGTTAGGACTAAACCTGACCTGACCCCAGATTGGTATGTTCGGAAATCCTGTCACGGTGTCAAGTTTGGGGAATTTTGCTCCCCGATACAGTTGTACAATCAGCAGGGGATGGGAGGCAGCTGCGGGCGCCCGAGGCTGGCCACGGTTCACACGCGGCCCGCGCCGGCGGAGGTAGAGCTGCGTGTTGGTGCTGGAAGGGCCGATTCTGGCCGGCTGTGGCCTGCTTAGACCTGTAAGCTCGAGCCGGCCCAGCGGTCTGCGTTAACCAGCAGCTCAGGTGAGCATGGTCGGCCAGCACCTGAGGCCGACGGCTCACGGAAGGCAGGCCGCGGAGTCCAGCTCGCCAGAGTGATGGCACGCTCAGCGGAGCGGAACACCGAGATGCTGAGGTTGTCCTCGCCAACCCCTTCTCAGGCTCCTGTTGGCACAGGGCATTGCCGTAGCACTTTTCAGGTCACAACTTGCCAGAATTGTTTGGCCTTAATGTTGTCTGGCTGACCCGCACGTTCTAACGTCCTCAGCGCACTTTGCAAATTGCCTCTTTGGCTGGGGTTACTCCGGCGCGGGCCCCACGGGAGCAAAGCGGGAGCCTCCCTGACTGCTTGTGCCCGAAAGTCACACAGCTTCTAGCCTTGCCCCGAGTGCAGGTCAACCACGCAGGCAGTGTTCTCTCCTGCCCCCCCTCCCCCCCAAACCTGCGGTGGGTAAAGACTACAGGCTGACAGGGAGGTCAGGAGAAGACGGAAGATGGACCCCGCGGGGAATGCAGGGCACAGCTTTTACTCACTGATAAGCGCTTTTTCCAGAGTAGGGCCTTGGGTGCCATGGGCTAGACCAGGGCTGGCGCAGGGCAGCTGTGTCCCCCAGGGGAGGAGGAGACCCTGGATTCCCATAGGGACTTGGGGGGGCTGGCCATTCGATGGAACGGTTTTCAAACCCTTACCAGTTCGGGCCCTCAGCGCCGATTCTGGGCACAACATA